CAGCTGGCTGCTCACCCTGTCCTTTGTATACAGCTGGCTGCTCACCCAGTCCTTTGTATACAGCTGGCTGCTGACCCAGTCCTTCATGTGTTTTTTTGCCACACTTCAGTCAGATTGATTTGTGTGCTGGAGACTGACTGACAGCTTTAAAATCTCCTAAGAAGCATGGGCTTTAAACAACCTTATCGTAAATACAAATATTTTCTATTTATTATCTAACTATAATTAAAATAATATGGAAACTTTCTAGTTAATGCCACTAATGTTCAGGAAACTAAGAATATGCCATTTTACATTGTCTAAGGTGTGAAAGTACATTTTCTTGAACCTTAAATCTCATCTTTTACAGTGTAGAGGTGATACAGCAATATGCTCGGTTATATTACAGGTTACACACAAACATTTGTTATATACATATACATATACATATACATATACATATACATATACATATACATATACATATACGTGTGTGTGTGTATGTATACATATACAGACATTTGTATTTAATATATTTATCAAACAGACCTATGATTAAAGAGAAAAGACCAGTGTATGCTGTGCTGTGTCCTGTTACATCTGCGTCTGGGAGATGGAAGCAGGAAGTCAGTTGTTCAGGGTGACTCCCTGCTTCTAGAACATTCAAGGCCAGGCATGCTACATGAGACTGTCAGAAACAAAACAAATAAACCATTTTTTTTTCCTCAAAAAATAGGAGCACTTGTTCTCTAGCAGAGGAGCCCTGTTCAGTCCCCAGAGGAGCACTGTTCAGTCCCCAGAGGAGCACTGTTCAGTCCCCAGAGGAGCACTGTTCAGTCCCCAGAGGAGCACTGTTCAGTCCCCAGAGGAGGACTGTTCAGTCCCCAGAGCAGCACTGTTCAGTCTCCAGCACACACATGGTGGTTTGCAGCTGTGTAACTGCAGTTCCAGGGAACCAGTAACATCTGGCCTCCAGAAGCACCAGGTTGTGCACCAGTATACAAGGTGGCACATACTTAATCACAAAAATAAAAATAACTTCAGGAAATTAAACATCACGAGGCCTAGAGAGTTAGCTCTGGGGTTGAGAGTTCTTGTGGGTTTTGTCTATGTATACATACAATGTATAATATATAATTTTTGGTAAGTATAAATTTTGATTTCATGAGGTTTGGTGTTATTTTTCCTTATCTTACCCTCATTGCCCCCCCATCTGTGTTGACCTCCCTCCCTCTTCCCAGTTGAAGCCCCCTGCAGGTTCTCCCTTTCCCACTTCAGAGCACCTGTGCCCTGCTACTCCTCCCTCATGCTCCTCCCCCAGTGCTCCCTTTATACGATCCTGGTTTCCATGGTTACTTCCTGCTGTATAACTCAAATCTGTACATTGGGAGCTAGGAACCACAGATGAGAGAGGACTTGTGGCGTTTGTCATTCTGTGTCAACAAAGAATGTTGTCTTTCCTGGGTCCACAAATTCACTTGCAAAGTACATGATTCATTTTTACTTACAGCTTAGTAGTACTCCATGGTGCGTGAGTGTGTGTGTGTGTGTGTGTGTGTGTGTGTGTGACACTTTCATTATTCATCCATCAGTTAAAGGAATATTAGATTGTTTCTATTTCCTGGCTATTATGAATAGAGAAGCAACCAACACGGTTGCCCTAGTTTTTGCCAGGTAGGATGTACTTTGAACATATGCTGAGTCTTATGTAGACTTACGTTTTAGCTTTTTGTGGGTTCTCCATATTTATTTTCAGAGTTGCTGGACCAGGTTGCAGTCTTTCCCACAGTGACTGGGGGGTTCCTTTTCTCTGCTCCTTGCCGGGATTTTTTTGTCAGTTGTTTTGTTGATCTTAGCCTTTCTGACTGTAGTAAGAAGAAATCTCAAAGTTGTTTTGATTTCCCTAACAGGTAAGGACGATGAACACTTTTTGATGTATATTTTTAGCCATTTTTGTTTCTTTCATTGAGAACTCTGTTTAAATCCCTAGCTCCTTTTTTAATTGTATCATTTGTTTCTGTGATGGTTTGTGTAAGCATGGCCCAGGGAGTGGCACTATTAGAAGGTGTGGCCCTATAGTAGTAGGTGTGGCCTTCTCAGAGTAGGCATGTCACTGTGGGCGTGGGCTTAAGACCCTCACCCTAGCTGCCTGGAAGTTAGTCTTCACTAGCTGCCTTCATTTGAAGATGTAGAATTCTCAGCTCTGACTGTACCATGCCTCCCTAGATGCTGCCATGTTCCCGCCTTGATGATAATGGACTGAACCTCTGAACCTATAAGCCAGCCCCAGTTAAATGTTGTCCTTATAAAAGTTGCCTTGGTCATGGTGTCTCTTCACAGCAGTAAAACCCTAAGACAATTTCCTTGAATCTTTGTTTTTTTAATTCTTAGTGTATTTGTATCCATCCTAGACAGACGGATGGATAACGAAGGTTCACTCCTATCCTGCGGGCTTCTCTGTAGCTCAGTTGGTTGTTTCCTTAGCTGTACCTAAGTTTTTAGTTTTATGAAATCCCAGCTGTCAACTGTTGGCCTTTATTCCTGGGCAAATGAAGTCCTGTTTAAAAAGTCCTTTCCTGTACCTATGTCTTGTCGGGTACTGCTTATATTTTCTCCTATCAGTTTAGTGTTTTGGATTTCAAATTGAGGGTTTTCATCCACTTGCATCTAACTTGGCGTAGGACAGTAGATACAGGTCCAATTTCATGCTTCTGCATGTGGTCATCCAGTTTCCCAAGCATCATTTATTGATGGTGTTATCTTTTCTCCAGTGTATGGTTTTGTCTGTGTGTGTGTGTGTGTGTTTTGCCTCTGTCAAATATCAGATTGAAACAACCCTAAAGTTCCAGCACAGAAGCAGCCTGATCATGATGTGTGATCTTATGACATTTGCTTGTATTTGGTTTCCATGACTCTTGTCATTCATGGGGTCTCCACTGCAACTGAGGCTGCACTTTCCACCAATGGCCTCTCCTGGCCTTTCACAGTGCTGTGCTCAACTGCTTTTCCTCGACTGCATGTCTTCAAAATCATTACCATGTGGGACGCTAGCTTGAAATTCAGTCTTGGTGCTTCCCACCATAGTGTCCATGTGCTGACCCTGAGGAAATCCTCACAGAAGCCAGTACCTCAGTGATGCTGGCCTCTTTTTAATCACAGCTGATTTCTCAGTCCCAGCTAACAAACACCCCTTGTTCCAGTAAGATAATGGGTTTATGTCTGTAGTGCACTGTATAAAACAGAAAAACCTTTGGTGGTCTGAGTGAAAATAGGCCCATAGGTTCATACACTTGAATACTTGATCTCCATTGATGAACTGTTTGGGAAGGATTTAGATGTGTGGCCTGGTTGGAGGTGTGCCATTGGAGGCAAACTTGAGGTTTCAGAAGATTCCCAAAATCCTCGGTCTGCTCCTCTTATCTTCTGGTTTCTCTTCAGCTGGTGCTGAAGAATAAACTGTGATTAACAAAAGACTGTACTGACATGAACCCATTACTTTACTGGGACAATTAGTATTTGTTCACTAGGACTGAGAAATTGACTGTGATTAAAAAGGGGCCAGCAACATTGAGGTACCATAGTATGTGAATATGTTCTCAGCACAGAGAGCTGAAATCTCCCATCCCTAAATCCTGATTAGTGGAATAAGTTGGCGCAGATGTTTGTGTATTTCAGGCTCTATAGGATTCTAGCTATAGGTCACAGTTTAGCTCCCAAGTCCACACTGTGTCCCTGATCAATCACTCTCAGGGTTATATTCAATAAGCCAGCCCTGTTTGACTGAGATTGGTGTCAGAGTGGTTTATATGATGAATTCCAGACCCCAACAAAATTAAGAGGCCTATGAAGGCAACAAGCACAGTAAAACTCTACAGTATGAAGTCCTCAGGGCATGTAGTTCTTGGGACCATACCTCTCTTGACACACATCCACTGTGGTTGAGCTAACTGGTGGGCTGCATTCCATGAGTTTTAAAGCCATTTATTATTCCTCCTGCATAGATCTTGACACATATGTGCAGTTCAGCCCTGTTTAGCCTCAAAGCATGAGAGCTTATCTATGACAGTGTAGACAGGGTTATTTCAGACCTGGAAAGACAAGGAACATATGATCTCAGCCATAGACATACTCCAAAGAATTTGATCTCACCAGAGTTGAAGACAGGCGTTTCCAATGGGCCAGTGAGCTGGGGAAAAGAAGCACAGAAAGTTTTGACCAGTGTCTGCACAATGAATTTAGGTAGGAACATGATGCGTAGGATACAATTGCCCAGAATTGAGACTGTTTGTAACAGTCCTGTAGTGTGTATTACAGAAGCCTGGAAGACAGGGTTTTGAGCATTTTCAATATAAAAGTAAACCCTACTTAAAAATCATAGTAGGTATATATGGAGTATTAGCCTACAAAGAATATATCTAAGACTTATCTGTGTTATATAATCTTTCATTAATAAGTAAATTTTTATAAGCTTACCATAAATAATAAAAATATTAGTATCCTCAAAGATCATTGTGGCACTTTATATACCGAGATAAGAAAAACAGTTGAGCTGAAATGTAGAAAATTTTAAAATAAGAGAAAAAAATAAAGGTAGTGCCGTGTATTGATAACACTAGACCTTCGAAGAGCAGTGCAGTGGGGTCATGAGTTCAAACTCTGCCTTAGGAACATAGCAGATGCATGAATATCTGACAGAGAGGGAGAAAGAGACAAAGTGTTAGAATTACATCTAGTGTATTTAAAGGTTAGGCTCACATTTAGTGTAAATATATTCCAAAGGCTGTTTTTGCTGTTTGTAATGTGCAAATGTGTAAAACTCTTGCACTTAAATTTCATCTGAATTCTTCCCTTATTCTCCCCTTGGCTGCTCAAACTCCTGTCCCTTAGTGCTCCTGTCCTCCCTCCACCAGGGGGCGAGGGCACACTCAGAAGCCTCAGTCCAGAGCTGCTGCATGGGGTCTACACCTCACTCTCAGGGTGAGGTTTCTGAGTAGAGGTGATTTTGAAGAATGTAATTAACATTCTATACCAATTCATAAGCATTTCTAGCTCTCCCTTCACCTTGGGTAAGCGGTGACTGCAAGCTTGCTGGCTTTGTTATGTGTATCATTACTTGTCCTATTTATTTAATTTATACTGTTCATTTATTTTTTATTTCAGGACCTTCTGTCATTCACAGATGTGGCCATTGATTTCTCTGCAGAGGAGTTTGAATGTCTGGACTCTGCTCAGTGGAATCTGTACAGGGACGTGATGCTGGAGAACTACAACAACCTCGTGTTCCTGGGTGAGGATAACTTCCATAGTTGACTCTGATTTCACTGTCAACATGTGACTGCCTCCCTGCCTTTGAAGAATATTTCATGGGAGCGTGTGCTTTTGTTTTTTTTCTTTCTTTTCTTTTTTGGGTTTTCAAGACAGGCTTTCTCTGTGTAGCTGTAGCTATCCTGGAACCTGCTCTTTAGACTAGACTGGTGTTAGACGATGAAATCTGCCTGCCCTCTGCCTCCTAAGTGCTGGAATTAGAGGTGTGCCCCACCACCACCCAGGGTGTTGATTAGTTTCATTTGCCTATTTTAAAAGGAAAAATTAGGGAATTGTTATTAGCTAAGAAACTCTTTTTTTTTTTCTTTTCTTTTTGACATATTTGTTTTCAGAGTATTTTCCTGTGGTGGCAATGTTAGAAGCCCAGTGGCTTGAGGCACAGAACACATGTGTTAAAGTGTCTCACCGTTAGCGTCAATACTTTTTCCTGTAATGAGGCTCGGGATCTGGAGGTTGTATTACTCCTAAGCATCCTGTCTTTCAGGAAATGTTTAAAGATAGAATTTTACAAAATTGTTTATCTTCTCTTTCCTTTTAAGCACCAAAACTGGTTGCAATTGTTAATTTCCAGAAAAAAACAGCCAAGCATCTTATTCCTTTTCCAAACAGGTCTTGCTTTCTCTAAGCCGTACCTGGTCACATTTTTGGAGCAGAGTTCAGATCCGTGGAGCGTGAAGAGAAAAGCATCAGCGGCCATCCATCTAGGTGTGTAGGGATGAGTGAGCAGAGCTCACAAGTGACACGTCCATCTGTGAACTATGTATTGAGAAGTTACGTTTGGGTGGAAATCTCTTATTATCAAGTGGCCTTTCCTGCATGATGTTAGCCATGATAATCCTTCCTTTCTCTCCAAGAAGCTATGTCTGTGTGTACAGAGTCTGCCAAAGTCCTGTATTTAACTTGTTTTCCTGTATCTGTGTGTGTCCTGTTCTCGCCTGTATACATACTTCCATGTGTACAGATAGGCTGACATGTCCGTGGACCCTGTGGAGGGCTAACATTGATGTCGAGAATCCTCTTTGATGGCTGATTTACCTTATTCATTGAGGCAGGATCTCTAAGTCAAACTCAGAGCTAGTCCTAGCCAATTTGCTCTAGGGATGTCCGTGTCTTCACCTTCCAAGCCTAGAATGACAAGCTGGCTACATTGTCCCCTCGGCATTTACAAAGGTTCTGGGTACACAGACTCCAGTCTTCATGCTTGTGTGGCAGGCACGTTGACTGCTGAGCCATCGCCATGGTCCCCGTCCTTGTATTTTTTCTGGAAGCATCTAAATTACAACATATTTTGCTTTACTTTCTATGACTCAGAAAATGGGTCCACAATTCTAGCAGCCTTAGTAACACAGTAATACCACAGATGGGCATCTCTAACCTCATTCACATGCTTACTAGCTAACCTAGTTTCATCAGAGTTTTCATGTGTGTGCATGTATGTGTGTGTGCACATGACAGTGCTCATTTTGAGGTCAGATGACAAAATACAAGGGTTGATTTTCTCCTTCCAACCTGTGGGGTTGTGGGGATGGAGATATGCCTTACCTTCTTTGCAGTCTTGCTATATATCTTATGATGGTTGGCTTTATTTTTATTTATTGTTTTGCCACTGAGTGGCAGTCTATTACAATGCAGTGCTTCTCTAAGTGTGTAGTCATGGCTGAAAAGTACACATGTAGGTTAGATAAGCTTTGTTTAGTAGGTCTTTGATAGTGTTTCAAAATTTTATGGCTCCCAAATCTAATCTCTTTCTGTTATTTTACAACTCTATTTTCTGTTTGATTTTTTTTTAAGTCTAGACTCTTTTCCATTATATGATAACATGCTTAGCTGTGCCAGATTGATTACTATATCCCATAAGGACAATATAAGATATTAAGAGAACTATGCCGTAGATCTGTTAAAAGCGATGTTATCATTCCTTATAAAAATATTATTCATAATTTCAAGGCACATGCATTTTCTCCCTTGCTTGGTTACTTACTAGTGGTTGTAACCTTCTAAATGAGTATTCCTAGAAATTGTGTAACTTTGTGTTTATTAGCAAACAGTTTCCTTAGCTGAACTTATGCTCCTTCTAGGTAAACTAGACATTTTTCATAATTTGATTTTTTTAAGGTATTTATATTATTTTTGGTAAAACCTAACACTACCTTAAAGGTTTCATGTATCGATTTAAAAGTATTATACGTCACATCTTTACACAACTTTATAGCTTTGAAAACCGATATGGTATACTCAAAAATCTTCTGTATTTCTACTTCCAACCAATTTATCACAATCAACATTGGCTTCCTGTTTGATATGTTTCTGAACTTGGAATTTTCGTGTAAGACCAGCAGTGCATTTTTAAATAAGGGTTGCTTTCAATTAATAAAATGCCCCTAGGTGGTTTTTATGTAGGTGTTATATAAGTTTGGCTTTAAACTTTCATAGTTTTCCATTATTTGTTTGTTCCACATTGTCTCCATATTCTAAGTTCATTGGTAGATTATATAGTATCTGAATGAGGCTACTGGGAATATAGGTGTGCAAATATCTATAGCTTCCCATTTATACGATGCTTCATTTTATGTCAAAATGTAATCACAATTTCAAAGTATATTTAGGATGAGCAGTATAAATATAGTGTATGGTGGTATACTTTTTCTGATTCTTTAACAATTTTTTAACAGGATCAAAATCCCATAAATGTAAAGAATGTGGGAAAACCTTTGATAGGAATTCAGTCCTTATTCAGCATCAAAGAATTCACACTGGAGAGAGACCCTACAAATGTGAACAATGTGGCATGGCCTTCACCAGTCGCTGCATTCTTTCTAAGCACCAGCGAACCCATACTGGAGAGAAACCCTACAAATGTGAAGAATGTGGCAAAGCATTCAGCTGTTCCTCCAACCTTCACCAACACCAACAAATTCACAGGAGAGAGAAACTCTACAAATGTGATGACTGTGGGAAGGCCTTTAGCTGTTCTTCATACCTACATAAGCATCAGCGAATCCATACTGGCATGAAACCCTACAAATGCAAGGAATGTGGTAAGGCCTTTAACTGTTCTGCAAACCTGATTTACCACCAGAGAATTCATACCGGAGAGAAACCATATAAGTGTGGTGAATGTGGAAAAGCCTTTACCATTTACTCAACATTTATGAATCACCAGCGAACACATAGTGGAGAAAAACCCTATGAATGCAAAGACTGTGGCAAAGCCTTTACTAATTGTTATAATCTAATTCAACACCAAAGAATTCATACTGGAGAGAAACCCTATGCATGTGAAGAATGTGGCAAATCTTTTAACTATTCTTCCCACCTTAAACAACACAAAAGAATCCATACCGGAGAGAAACCATATAAATGTGAAGTATGTGGCAAAGCTTTTAACTGTTCTGATTATCTGGTTAAGCATCAAAGAATCCATACTGGGGAGAAGCCCTACAAATGTGAAGAATGTGGCAAAGCTTTTAGCTTTTCTACATATCTGCATAAGCATCAAAGAATCCATACTGGAGAGAAACGCTACAGATGTGAAGAATGTGGTAAAGCTTTTACTAATTATTCGGGGCTTATTGTTCACCGAAGAGTTCATACTGGAGAGAAACCCTACAAATGTGAAGAATGTGGGAAGGCCTTTAGTGTTCACACATCACTCTATAAACATCAGAGAATTCATACCAGAGAGCAACCTTACAAATGTGACGAATGTGGAAAGACATTTAACGTTCATTCAGCATTCTCTAAACATCAGATAATCCATACTAGAGAGAAACCCTACAAATGCCAACACTGTGACAAGACCTTCAAATATCCTTCACCCCTTGTTCAACATGAAAGAATTCACACTGGAGAGAGACCCTACAAATGTGAAGTATGTGGCAAGGCCTTTACTTCTTCTTCAAATCTTAAATATCACTGGAGACTTCATACTGGCGAGAAGCCCTACAAATGTGAAAAATGTGGGAAAGCCTTTAAAAATAGTTCCAACGTCACGCGACACTACAAGATTCATTCTAGATTAATCCAGGTTTATACAAAGCTTCCATAATTGTTCATTGACAATTCAGCACTAAAGAATTCATATAGAAGAAAAGCCTTAGAGATGAACGGAATAAGGAACCACCTTTAATAATAGTCAGGCCCATATTTGACATCCATCATTATATACTGGAGAGACCTTGTCATGGTGAAGAAGATGGCCGTGCTGAGCATTCTATACTTAGGGCATCAAGATTTTTCAAGAAGCTCTACAAATGCAGGTAATGTAGGAACTGCTCATTAACCATGAGTGAATTATAACCAAACATTCTACGTGCAAAATGACTTGGGAAGGAACACTGACAAATGTATAGAACTGAGAAAACCAACCTGATACAGTGAACAGCACAGTGTTGCCACACTTTGCCCATCATGTAGATCTTAAGAGAGAAGAGAGAATTATCTATCATAGGGGACAAATTCCAGGAGCCGTATAGCATTTAGTAATCCCTACAGAATTAATACAGAACTCTGAACTGACCAAGAAATGTTTGGTGTGATATAAAAACTCATTATAGACTTTGGAATCATGCAGATAAAGCTTGTGAGGACATCAATATGTTATAGATTGAAATTATAACATAAGCTCAATTTTGAAAAGTGGTAAGATCACCTACAATGAGTGATTTTAACTAGAAGAATAAGACTGAGTCCTGAGGTTTCAGAGTCTGTTTTTTTCCCCAAAGTCCATAGATACATTATTAGAATATGAACTTTAGTAACTTTTGTAAATAAAAATAAGATGTTCTTAATGTATTGTCAGTGTTGTGTTTAGTATTGCATTCTTTTTTTTCTAAGTTTTTTTTCTTACTAAGTTTTACATAGTTTTTTTTTCCTTTTTTCTCATAGTTTTTTGTGTTTTTTTGTTTGTTTTTTTTTTGTTGTTTTTTTGTTTTTTTTTTTAGTAAGATAGAAAAACTACCTTAGTGAGGTGTGAAGACTACTATTGGATATCCACCTGAGACACCTAGGAAGAGGGAACCTCAGCTGAAAAATCATCTCTGTCAGATGGCCGGCGAGTGAGAGACTCTTACATTCTCTTGAGTGCAATTGATGAAGACAGGTCCAGTCCACTGTGGACGGCACCATCCCTAGGCTCTGGACCTGGGCTGTGTAAGAAAGGTCCCTGAAAATGACACTAGGAATGAGCCAGCAAGTAGCATTCCTCCATGGTCTTTGCTCAGGTCTCTGCCTTAAGTACCTGCCTTGGATTCCTTCAGTGACGGACTGTAATGTGTAAGATGGAACACACCCTTTCTTCCCCACATAGTTTTTGGGTCATGGGGTTTATCAAAGCAAAAAACCATATCAGAACATGAAGGACCTAGGCAACATTTAATTACTTATTACTGGGGATTTGTGGGATATTTAGTCTGTTCCTAATGTTAATGTATTTCAGGTAATTTGTAGCATATTATCTTTTATGTTATATCATTCATCTACTTAAAATTACTTTTATTTCATATGTTTTATACAAATAAAGTTATGCCCTTTTTTTTTGGCTCTTCTATATTGTAAAAGAACATATGTTCTAGATAGACAGGATAAAAGACACACAGTCCTGGTATTTTATTTATAAGCTGTGAGCCTAGATTGGGCAGGTATTGAGCTATTCTGACTTACATCTCAGCCATGTGCTTCTTGTTACTTGCTGTTCCTCCTGACCATGTGCTTATGGTCTGTCTCACATGCCAATCTCCTCTTCTCCTGACCCCCTTTCTTCTCTTCTGGTCTCTCCTGAGACCACTCAGTCTATCCTCAAGTCCCGCCTTTCTACTGCCCAATTAATCATAGGCTTTAGCCTTTTATTCATCAATTAACTTGGGAAGTAAGGTTTGCACAACAAAAGTGATGTTTGTGAGAATTGGCTCATCTTGGGGCAACCAGATCTTGGGGGCCAGTATTTAGCATTTAAATACATAACAGCGCCAGACCAACTGCAACATCGCTCCCTTCTGTCTAAATAAAAAGGCTATTTCTCTTAAAATAACAAACTATGTACAGTAAGAATAAATGTAAATTTTTATCTATGCCATGAATGGCATAAGTCTAAAGGATTTTACAGTCAATACAATCTATGGACTGCATATAGTTATTCATGGCTCAGCCCGTCTCAAAGCTGTGTGCATGTAGAGGAATCAGCATATATATTACATGTATTATTGATCTTCCTAATCTCCCTCTGTCTCTCCGTAGCCAAAATCTTCAGGGGGTCTTCTCCAGCTACATCTTATTTCCAATATTTTGCTTGGAAGACATAGCTTTTCTCTTCTTGTTGGATAAAAGCAAAACAACCCTGCCCCAACCCTAACTCTGGGTCCTTACATTGACTAGTAGAATATATCTTTCCTAGGGCAACATTCTTTTTGGCAACAGAAAAATCATTATCTTTCAAATTGAAATAAGTATACCTGATGTGGATAAATATACACATAGTCCTCATTTTTCTTTATGTAAATTTAAGATTGATGTGCATTTATCTTTTAGATCACTAAGGAGATTATTATTTATTACTAAGCAAAGACCTATATAGCACCTTTTTTTTTTTTTTTAAGATTTATTTATTTATTATATATGAATACACTGTAGCTGTCTTCAGACACACCAGAAGAGGGCATCAGATCTCATTACAGATGGTTGTGAGCCACCATGTGGTTGCTGGGATTTGAACTCAGGACCTCTGGAAGTGCAGTCAGTGCTCTTAACCACTGAGCCATCTCTCCAGCCCTATATAGCACCTTTAAGGGAAAAAAATGTGTGACTTTGGATTTTAGACTGTTGTTTGCAATCGCTGTATCTTATCAGCTGTGGGCTCTGCCCTGACTTCATCATTTAGACCACACTGTCTAGAATTTACCGAGATCTGCCTGCCTTTGTCTCCTGTGTGTTGGAGTTAAAGGCGAGTGCCACCACCACTTCTTCACCTCAACTCTACATCATTGGAACGCCTTATAAGAAAACAACAAGTTTGAACTATAGTGACATTCTGGATTTACTTAAAATCTTAAGAATCCTGTTTTAATAATATCAAACAATAAAAATGTCCTTTCTAAAATTTTCAAACAAACAAAAAAATCAAGCAAAGAATCAAGAAAATTTGAAATTTTGGGACCAGTGGTGTTATCTCAAGTTATAGCATCAAACCTTGTCCGTTAGTCCTTGGAATTTAGGTGTTGCTGTGTTGTATTGGAGGGCCCTCAGCAGAAAGAGCTGAGAAACATCTCATGGCCCTCAGCTCTGAGCTCCAGCTGACACCAGTTTTCCTTTTCCGATTGGAAAGAGCCTTTTTCCTTTACCGCTTGTAATTTAGCATTCCATCTCTCAGTCCTTACCTAAATCTTGCTTTGGTCTGAAGTTTCTTAGGACACAGAAAGCTGTAATCATGACTGAATGAACATACTGTAATCAGCTCCATGATGACAACTAAAACAAGAACTATACAAGATCCAGGTGCCTTCTGCTGTAGTGTTTTTCATTTTTCACATGGAAAATGTTTCCTTTTGATCTCTGACTCTCTCCTTAAGGACTTTAAATTACCAATTTAAAACTTAATACCTTACCAATTCAGAAGTTTGGAGGACTTTTTGTCCTATTGCAGCTCCGGGAAATGTTCCCTTTGAACTTCTGTGTGTCTACAAGGTTCCTCAGGCCATCACGTGTATGTGGCAGCCATCTTTGTCCCCTCAGCTCAAGTACAGAAGGCTGCCCAACTGGTTTAGTCTTCTGGTCTGGCCAGGCTTCTCTTGCAAGGCATATCACAGAAACAGACTTTTAAACAGATGGAATAAATGACAACATCTTTGATTTTGCTCAGCAGGGTTAGAGAAGTGGATCTACTTGCAGTTGGTCTGTGGAATCCAGGTTTCTTAGCGTCATTTGTTAAAGATGTATTTTCCTTAGTGCGTGTTTTTGATATCTTTGTCAAAAACTGGAATTGTCACCATTTGATTTGCTTTGAGGTCTCGTAATTTAGTCCATCAGTTTCAAAGTCTGTTTCTGTGATATGCTTTGCAGGTTTTGTTACTGTGGCTCTGTAATATAAGTTGGGGTTGAGCATTGTGATACTTCCAACAGTGCTTCTTCTACTAGAGGTTTCTTTAGCTATTCAGAGACGATGTGCTTCCTTGTGAATTTTTAAGTTGATTTTTTTTCTATTTTGGTGGTCACTGTCACTGGATTTTTTCTACTCCTTCCTAGAATCACTTTCTGAACTTCTCAAGTAGTTCCTCCATTCCTCTATTTAGTTTTCTATCTTTGTAGCCTTTAGACATATCTAGAGTGATTTGTTATGAATTATTTTTAAGTTTCTTGATTTAGGGAGTCTTCCATGTTCAACACTGTCGTTTAATCTTTGTCATTTGACCTTTCAGCCTTTCCAAGAATTTGGTCAGATCTTCCTCCTTCCTCTGTGGAATATCAATGACCTTATTCATGATTTGGTATCTGGTGACTGACTCCTTAATTCCTCTAGTGAGATCCCTCAGAACCCTCTTATGGTCTTGATGGGTTTGCGATTGTTATTGCATTGGGGGTGGGGTGGGGTGGCCCTAGGTACAATGTTTAACATTTGTGGCCAAGTCCCTGATATAAATGGGATGGCCCCTCTTGAATGGCCATGGCGGCCTGCCTGATACCCACCATCTCCCCTGGATCACCATCTAGTTCATTTTATAATTCTGAAGGCTTTGTATTCAAGGTATAATTGTTTCTCCATCCTGAATGGGGGTAGCAAGAGAAGTTTAAAGGGGATACCCTTGGTTTTCATAACACTATTACAGAGATTGGTTTCAGGAGTGTAAGAAAGAACCAAAATGAAGCCATCTTGAATAAAACTTCTCTATTGAATAGAAGTCAAATAGAGTTTAAATTCCTAAGACCTCCCTGGGTAGCTGACATCCTGCTTGGTAAATAGAGATATGAATTCTAGGCAAGTTGCCCCACTACAGATGAATACCCCAACCAGTGGAAACAGGATTAGTATACCACAAACACATATTCCCAAGAAGTCTCCTATCCCTAAATCCTGGTTGGTGGTAAAAATGTCACTCTATCTTGGAACAGATGTTTATGGTTTCCAAGCTTAAAAGACTGATAACATTATGGTTGGGGAGAGAGGGCTTGCAGTTCTGCTCTTCAGTCTGTTCTGTGGCCCTGATCAATCAGAAGTGGCTTGATTACAATACATTTTTGTCATCTGCATTGACCTGGTGTTTGAGTTGTGCTGGATCTCACTACAGGATCTGGGAACATACTTGGAACTGACCATGCTAGATCAAGTCTAGTGTGGAGGGAAATTCAGCCTGATAGATGTCACATGTCCACTTCTGGTTCATCCTTCTCCACCCTGAAGACTCTTAGGGCACAGCATAGCCTAACAACCCCTCTTTACACAAGATGAAGTAACTATTAATTAGGGCATAGACTGATCTCAACACTTCAAATCAGATAGCAGAATCCGTTAACAGCTATCAGCGTTTTATTTTATCTATCTTTCAGTTGTTAAATTCCTAGGTATAATATCGCCTAGGTAAGGTAGTACAGAATTCCAAATTACAACCTTAAATCAGGCCCAGAGCCGCCATTAATCTGATAAACTCGAGGTTTCCCCTCTGATCTATACTAAAAATGAAATTTCCTTTGTTCTGTTGGGTTGCTGCTAGATTGTTGGATATGCAGCTGGATAATCCAGCTTCCCCACTGCTAAAGGCCATCATTATTAAAGGACGGGATCTCACTAAATATATCTCTGAATATCTGTATAAAGAACCTGGGAGGAATTTTTAATATTTGTGCCCTTCCCCCAGCTTTGAGCAGGCCTGAGAGATGAGACCTTGTTTACCACAATAGACCAAACAATAGGACTCCAGAGGCATTGCCTGCCTTGGCTGTCTGTAGCCTAGTACACAAGCTGAGAATAGACTGCCTGCTGAGCTTGCCTTGACATCTCCAGCCTGCAATTAAGTATGGATTCCTCTCACCTCCAGCAAGATGGTTTCTGCTCACCCCCAGCTGGCTGAAGCAAGAAGGAACTCTGGGGGTGGGGGTGGGTTATCCCCTTTAAATTAGAAGCTGAACATTAAAGCATTGAGCCTCGATCAGAAACCTTTGTCCTGGCTTCATCTCTTCCTGCCCTCCTGTCCCTTCTTCCATTCCCAGCCTCTCTTTCAGGTGAACCCGGTCAACTGTGGCCGATGGCCCCTAACAAATATTTAAAACATTTTGTGCCGGGCAGTGGTGGCACATGCCTTTAATACCAGCACTTGGGAGGCAGAGGCAGGCGGATTTCTGAGTTCGAGGCCAGCCTGGTCTACAGAGTGAGTCCCAGGACAGCCAGGGCTACACAGAGAAACCTTGTCTCGAAAAACCAAAAAAAAAAAAAAAAAAAAAAAAAAAAAAAAAAAAATCAAAACCAAAAAAAGCCCCAAAACAAAACAAAAACAAAACAAGAAACCAAAAACAAAAACCATTTTGTAGTAAGCAGGTCGAGTTTTAAAATCACAATATATGGACCCAAGGTATCCAGTACACCTAATAAACATTGTTGTCAAAGGTTCAACTCATACCCAAACATCTCATTTTGAAAATCCGAGATTTTAAACGCAGCGTCCTGACTCCCTGTGGCTATCCACCTGCTGAAGTGGCTTGTTTCTACTCATTCTCTTCTGCAAACAGCCTGACAGTAACTCAAGAAAGGTTTCAAACCACCTTCACTGGCTTCGTGAAACTCGCTCGCAGAGAATTGTGGGAAATGTAGTCTCGCCCGCGGCGACGTCACAAACAGGGAGTCTGGGAAGGGCGCTTCCGTGTTTCTTCTGCGCCTGTGTGTCTCTGCTCTCTGGCGGTCTTCTCCAAAGTTGGGCCAGTGTCGGGTCCTGTGGGCGCTCGGGTAGCATCTCTGACATGGAGGTTGGTCCCAGGATGTAGCGCAGCCAGAGGGACGTTGCAGGGTGGGCGGGTCCGCCTTAGAGGGAGCGGACCTGGGGTTGGTGGGAGGCGGGAAGAAGCTAAATGGGAGGTGCTGTGGTGACCTAGGCTGGGCCATTCCGGTGCTGGTTAGTGCTGGAGAGGCTGATAGGGACGGAGCTGGGAGTGGCCGCTCTGTTAAGTTAAGCTCTTATCTGTCCTGCACTTCTGGGGCAGGAGAGCTGACTCGATAGCCTTGAAATGGAGAAGGGTGGAAGGTGTAGTATTGCGCCTGGCAGGGTGCATCGGCTGTCAACCTGTTCTGGAGGTGTGGAAGCATGCCCTCACTAGCTGACACTGGTTTGATGGCTTCTGTTACCCGAAATTAAATAAATGTGTAGACAATGCAGTTTGATCAAATCCACCCCACTTAAACAGTCCCAGGTATCTCCCAAAATGTTCCCCTCCCAATTTCCTGTCTTGGTGGTTTTGTTTTTGTTTGTTTTATAACCCACTGAGTCCACTTAGTGTTGCTCTAGTGTGCATACCTGTGTGTATGGGGGCGGGGGGCAGGGGGCAGGACAGCCCCTAGAATAGGGACACTCACTGGCCACACCTCCATGCAAAAAATTAATCTCTTTTTCAGTGGTCATCAACTCCAACAGCTCCTTAGTTAAGGGTGGGGCCCGTTGAAGTTTTGACTGACTTGATCTTGTGTGTTATGCAGGTAACCATAGCTACCTTTTTCCCCTTCATAGTTCCATTCTTTTTTGTTTGTTTTGCAGTTTTGAGACAGGTTCTTGGGTAGTCTAGGCTTCCCTGAAACGTGCTATGTAGTTTTCAGTGTCTTTAACTTCTGTTCCTCCTGACTCCTCCTCCCGTGTGTTGGCTTTACAGGTGTGGAGAACGTTGCTTACTTTTCTGTTCTGTATCTTTACTCCTCTGTGTCCTATGACGATGGCCATCTGTTACTTTGTTTCTTCCTTTGTGGCTTGCCCGGTAAACCTTCCCCATTCTTTGAGATGACTATTAAACCCTAACTTACTGGTTAAGACAGGACCTGATTACTAATTTCTTTAGGACGTGGCAGAATTCCACAGGGTATGGAAACACCATTTGAGATGTAGGAAAGAAATTTGGAGATGGTCATATATTGATGTGTTTTAATTTACAAGTAATTATCAGTGAGCTGCTGAGCTCAATATTGATCAAGACACGATGCCATGTGACATTTATTATGTGTGTGGGTGTTGTTTGTGCATTAACTGTTGGGTTTCTTAAGTTGCCTCATAGCCAGAGAGTTTATATTGAGAAGAAAGGCGTACAATAGGGATGAAAGCATACAAGTGGAATGTTAAGATCAGAATAAACTGTATAGTATGAAGACATTTCTTACATTTTGACCACGTCCCAGGAGTGAAACATTAGTGTTGACTATATTCTGCTAAAATTATTTGTTGATGTGCAGAAGTATTTATGATCATTGTACTTAGAGATGGGAAATGTAACTCGTTTCATCTGTGGCATAGTGAGTAACACAACCAAGAACTACTACCAGTAGCCTGATGACATCCCTTACTCTACTAGGGACTTCCACTCACGTAAAGATGATTCTTTGATTTTGTCATAGAAGATAATGTCGGGCTGATCTAGTATTAAGCAGAGATTGAGTTTATTAAAACAGAGTCTGGCAGTCAGGGAGACAATAAAGCACCTTAGAATGCATGGGTGTGAATTTCTCAAAGAAGTGTCTTTGCTGTATCTATGTTTAGCATTTTAGCGGCTCTCAAGTTAGACCACCAAGGGTTACTAAGAAACCTCACTTGAGGAAATGACTCTGTAAAGTCTGGCTGTGGGCCTGGGAACTGCTCTATTATTAAGGGAACTGGGAGCGTGAGATGAGATCTCAGTGTTATGAACGACAAGGTGGATACTCTGAGATAGTGAGATCTCAGTGTTAATTCAGAACAACCTTGGGCTCAGGTTCTCCCCTCAGGCGGCTCCAGATTCTATGTCTCTGTGTCTAATGATGCTTCAGTTTAGCCTTGGGTTGACTTTACAGTGGTGGAGAGGTGACCTGCTAGCTAGAAAGAACCCAGGGGCTTCTGTACATAGCACTGTTTGATCCTTCCCATAACTCTCCAACACATACATGAATACTTGTCTAGATGGGACGGGGTGAGGAGGGGAAGAAGAAAAACAATAGAAAACTTTTCAGCGACATCTAATGTGTTTTAACTATTTAAAAAGCATTGTACTTTTATTTTTCAATTGTATAAAAAAATCTTCCAGTTCCTTTTTATCTATAAATTCTTCCCTTATTGTTGTCCCCTTGGATACTCAAACAAATATCTTCTGGTGCACTGTTATTTACCTCAGTACTGAAGAGGGTACATATTCCTAGACTCAGGACATAGGCAGGGTCTACTGTATTGGAATCTGCATTCTCATTTCCAGTGTAACAGTTGAGAAGTGTCACTCTGCCTCAGTGTAACTGTCCAGTGAGACATGTACACGATACATCCTGTGAGAGATGTATACAGTACCAGCACAGTGCACGGAATATTGTGATTCTGTTTTGTGTATTATGAAACATAATACCCATATGTGTTCATTAAAGCATGTGCCATCCTCTTCCCTTAAGATGGAGAGTGTATATGACATTGTGTAAAAGAATCTCACTCACTATACTATTCTTCTTTGATCTTGTGTAAAACTGAAAAATGTTTTCAAGCACGGATTTAGTTTCATATTGATAGTAAGCTTTCAATTAACATATACTGTTCATTTATTCTTATTTCAGGAAATGCTCTCCTTCAGGGACGTGGCCATTGATTTCTCTCCAGAAGAGTGGGAATGCCTGGACCTTGCTCAGTGGAATCTGTACAGGGACGTGATGCTGGAGAACTACAGCCACCTTGTGTTCCTGGGTGAGGATACCTTCCATTGTGAATTCCTTTTTCTTTTTTTTTTTTAATTCCTATTTCACTTACCTTTTTTACTTTACATCCTAATCACAGCTTCCCCCTCTTTTCTCCTCCCAGTTAATCTCTCTCACTCCCCTCCCAATCCTCCAGTCCAGCTTTCTTACAAACAGAGAGGCCTTCCATGAATATCAATCTACCTTGGCACATCAAGTTGCAGTAGGGTTAGACATATCTTCTGTTGAGGCTAGACAAAGTAGTCCAGTTAGGGGAAAGCGATCCAAAGGTGGGCAGTGTAGTCAGAGACAGCCCCTGCTCCCTCTTTAGGATTCCCTCATGAAGACCCAGCTGCCCATCTGCTACATAGGTGCTGAGGCCTTAGTTCCGTCCCACGCGTGCTCTGTGGTTAGCAGTTCAGTCTCCATGAGCACCTACAGGCCCAAGTTGATTCTGCAGGTTTCCTTGTGATGTCCTTGACCCCTGTGGCTCCTTCAATTCTTCCTCCCCCACTTCCACAGAATTCCCCATGCTCCACGTAATGTTTGGCTGTGGATCTTTGGATCAGTTTCTTCTAGCTACTCGGTGAAGTCTCTCAGAGGACAGTTATGCTAGGTTCCTGTCTGCAAGTATAGCAGAACATCATTAATTGTGTCAGGGATGGGATCTCTTTCATGGCACAGGTCTCAAGCTGGGTCAGTCATTGGTTTAAGCCTTTCCTTCAATTTCTGTCCCATTCCTATCCCTGCACCCCTTATAGGCAGGAGAAATTGTGGGCCTCAGGTTTTATGGCTGGGTTGCTGTCCCAATCTCTATGTTAGGATTCTTTTCTGGTTACTCAAGATGGCTCTTTCAGGTTCTATAGCTACCATTGCTAGGAGTCTTAACTAGGGTCATCCTCATAGATTACTGGGAGTTTCCATTGTCCTAGGTTTCTAGCTCTTCTCAGAGATGCCCCTTACCCTTTCTAGTTCTCTCTCCTTCCTTCCTGCTCCCTTCCCCAACCTTTCCCCTATCCAGTTCCCTCCATCTACCCTTGATGAGTATTCTATTTCCCCTACTAAGTGAGATTCATCCCCTCTAGGGCCCTCCTTCTTTCTTACTTAGCTTCTTTGGGTCTGAGAATTATATCATGGTTATCCTGTACTTTATAGCTAATATCCATAAGTAAGTACATAACCTGTTTGCCTTTCTGGATCTGTGCTACCTCACTCAGGATAACTGCTTCTAGTTCCATCAATTTACCTGCAAATTTCATGATGTCATTACTTTTAAAAGCTGAGTTATATTCCATTATGCAAATAGACCACTCTTTCTTTATCCATTCTTCAGTTGAGGGGCATCTAGATTGTTTCCAGCTTCTGGCTTTTACAAATAAAGCTGCTATGAGCATAGTTGAGAGTGTCCTTATAGTATGGTGGAACATCTTTTAAGTGTACACCCAGGAGTGGCATAGCTGCGTCTACAGGTAGAGAACTATTCCCAATTTTCTGAAATTGCCAAGTTGATTTCCAGAGTGGTTGTACAGGTTTGTACTCTCAACAGCAATGGAGGAGTGTTCCACTTCCTCCACATCCTCCCCAGCATGTGCTGTCACTTGAGTTTTTTATCTTAGCCATTCTGACAGGTGAGTCAGAGAGTTATTTTGATTTGTATTTCCCTGATGGCTAAGGGTGTTGAACATTTCTTTAAGTGCTTCTCAGTCATTAGAGATTCCTCTGTTGAGAATTCTATTTAGCTCTGTACCCCATTTTTTTTTTTTTAAAGATTTACTTATTTATTTTATATAGGTGAGTACATTGTTGCTGTCATCAAACACACCAGAAGAGGGCATTTGATCCCATTACAGATGGTTGTGAGCCACCATGTGGTTGCTGGGAATTGAACTCAGGACCTCTGGAAGAGAAGACGGTGCTCTTAACCACTGAGCCAAATCTCCAGCCCTGTACCCCATTTTTAAATTGAGTTATTTCATTTTTTTGATGCCTAGTTTCTTGAGTTCTTTATATATTTTGGATATAATCCCTCTCTTGGAGGTAGGGTTAGTAAAGCTCCTTTCCCATTCTGTAGGGTGCCATTTTCTCCTTTTGATGGTGTCTTTTTCCTTAGAGAAACTTTCAGTTTCATGAGGTCCCAGTTATTAATTGCTGAGTTGTTGGTGTTCTATTCAGGAAGTTGTTTCCTGTACCAATGTTTTCAAGGCTATTCCCCACTTTCTCTTCTATCAGATTTAGTGTATCTGGTTTTATGTTGATGTTCTTGATCCAGTTGGACTTGAGTTTTGTGTAAGGTGGTAGATATGGATCTTTCACATTCCTTTACATGCAGACATCCAGTTAGACCAGCATCGTTTGTTGAAGATGCCTTCTTCTTTCCATTGTATAGTTTTGGTTTCTATGTCAAACTCAAATGTCCATAGATGTGTGGGCTTATTTTAGGTCTTCAATTTAATGCCATTGATCAGCCATCGATCAACCTGTGTGTCTTTATGCCAATACTATGCAGTTTCTATTACTATTGCTCTATAATACATCTTGAAATCACAGATGGTGAGTGATACCTCTAGAAGCTCTTTTATTGTATAGGACTGTTTTAGCTATCCTATTTTGTTTTTCCATATGAAGTTCAGAATTGTTCTTTCAAGGCCTGTAAAGAATCGTGTTGGAATTTTGATGAGAATTGCGTTGAATCTGTAGGTTGCTTTCTGTAACATGGGCATTTTTACTGTGTTAATCCTACCTATCTATGAACATGGGATGTCTTTCCATCTTGTGATATCTTCAATTTCTTTCTTCAAAGGCTTGAAGTCATTGTCATACAGACAGGTTTTTCACTTGCTTGATTGTTTGTTGCTATTGGGAAGGGTGTGACTTCCCTAATTTCTTTCTTTCTTTTTTTTTTTTTTTTTTTAAGATTTATTTTTATTTATTTGAGCACACTGTAGCTGTCTTCAGACGCACCAGAAGAGGCATCAGATCTCATTACAGATGGTTGTGAGCCACCAAGTGGTTGCTGGGAATTGAACTCAGGACCTCTGGAAGAGCAGTCAGCACTCTTAACCCCTGAGCCAGCTCTCCAGCCCCCCTAATTTCTTTCTTTCTCAGCACCTTTATCATTTTTATATAGTAGGGCTACTAATTTTTTTTTTTTTTTTTTTTTTTTTAGTTAATTTCGTATCCAGAGCCTCTTTGCTGAAAGTCTATTATCTGCAGGAGTTTTATGGTAGAATTTTTTGGGTCACATATGTATACTATCATATCATTTGCATCTAGAGACACTTTGACTTCTTCCTTTCCAATTTGTATTCCCTTGATTTCCATTAGTTCTTTATTACTCTAGCTAAAACTTCAAGTACCATATTGAATGGGTATGGAGAAAGTGGACCGCTTTGTCTTTTACCTGATTTTACTGGAATTGCTTTAAGTTTCTCTCCATTTCATATGATGTTGGCTATTGACTTGCTATATATTACTTATATTGTGTTCAGTTTGTGCCATGTATCTCTGATCTCTCCAGCTTTTATCATAAAGGAGTGTTGGATTTTATCAAAGATATTTTCAGCATGGAATGATGGTTACATGGATTTTTTCTTTCAGTTTGCTTATATGGTGGATTATGTTGATGACTCTTCATATAATGAACGATCCTTGACTCTCTGGGATAAAGCCTATTTGATCTTGGTAGATGATGTTTGTGATGTGTTCTTGGATTTGGTTTGCTAGTGTTTTATTGCCAGACGTATAGCTTCAGGATAATCTTCTGCCATCCCTTATCCCACTTTTTGTTTTAATTAATAGGGTTTGTTTGTTTGTTTGTTTGTTTTGCTGTTCAGAAGGGTTTTGTTTTTAATCCTGAGGTCAAGTTCTTTAGTTGTTGATCTTACTTCTTTAGTGACCAGAGTCCTGTTCAGGAAGACCTATACTGAAGAGCCCTCCTTTTTTATTTTTTCAGGCACTTTCGGAATTTCTGGTCTTGAATTGAGATCCTTAGTCTATTTGGATTTAGTTTCATTCTTATACATGCAGATGGCCAATTTTTCTTTCTTTCTCAGTATATTTGTTCTTAGTAATTAGGAAGACACTGATTTTTTTTTTTTTTTTAAATATCCTATCATTTTGCTGAGAGCAGTTTTCAACTCTACTTGTTTTCTGGAAGAGACCTTGAGGTCTTTTATAGTTAGAGTAAAAGTCTCTGCAAGTAGCACTGTTTATTGGGATAGCTATGTAATTTCTGTCCTTGAGCCTGTTTATGTAGTAAGTTATATCTGTTGACTCACATATGTTGAACTATCGCTACATGTGAGGGATGATGTTCGGATGATGATGATCATAGTGATGTGTTTTTACAAGTATTGAGAAATTTTTGACCAGTGTTCATCAGAGATAGTGGGCTGTTATTTTCTTCCCTTTTATTTATTTTTTGGTGCCTTTATCTGGTTTTGATATCCATATAATATGTACTAACAAAACGAGGGCAATGCGAGACAGATAATCTAAGCAGATCTCCCTCAATAAAATTGAAGTAGTAATTAAAAGAAAGCGAAACTCCAGTTTCAAAAAGCCCATGTGCAGATGAATTACTTAATATTTTTTTACTAAACTTTAAAAAGGAACAAAGAATAATATTTCTTAAGTTATTCCATAAAGTAGAAAAGGAAATTTTCCCAACTTCCTTCACAGTCAGATTTCTCCCCTTAAAAAAAAACTTAGTGGGAGTCATGAGTACAGCAGATGAATTCGTCACAGTTCTTACTATGTTTTTAACTTTATTGTTTTGGTAGTATGACTCCTTCCTTCTCCTTGGAATTTTAGAAACTGAGAGACATCACGTGGAGAATTCATCTTAAAGTACAATATTTTACCCTTCAGCTCTGATTTTCCCCCCCTCTGGAGGTAAAGCTTCAAGTATTAGATATATCTATAAGGAATCATTTTAAAAAGTTATTTTCTGCTATCTTTTATTCTATTTTCTTTTTCCTTTCCTTATAAAGACAATAGTAATATGCATATCAGTCCTAGAGAACAACACAATCTTCACATTTTCCTTTCCTTCTACTAGGTCTTGCTTTCTCTAAGCCGTACTTGGTCACATTTCTGGAGCAAAGAAAAGAACCTTGGAATGTGAAGGAACCAGCAACAGTAGCAGTCTACCCAGGTATGTAGGAAAGAGTATATCAGAGCATACACCTGAGCGGTCCGGAGATGCCACAGAGAGGCAGGCACTAAAGGCTGGGTGGATTAGGGGATCGGTTTCGGGGGGTGGGGGGAATGATGTTTTAGAATGCTCCTTTGTAGGAATTTTTAATCCTGATCAGGGATTTCTACCCCGCCTTGATCATTCAGTTCTCAGATAAAACACACACACAACCTTTATATTTACAGTAAGTAAACAGCACAAGAGCTGGGTAGATATCTACCCCCCATGCTGCTAGAATCTGCTTTCCTATTAAGAACCCGTAGTTATTACTTGCTGTGTTTTATTTTGGCTACCCTTAACCCAATTGGCCAGCCGTCAGGGCCACATTTTCATGACTCACGTAACCTGTGGCAACTTTCTCTCCCTCTTCCACCTTTACCTCCTCATAGTTTTCCTGTTCTCTTCTCTAACCAGGTCACTCCAAAACCACCATCCTCTAATCCCTCCAATAATTGGCTGTAGCCAATTTGATTTAACCAATTGTTTTAAATCGAGGAACGCGGTTTGCACAACAAAGGCTTGTAAACATGAGAAGCCGTTGGTAGATCTAGACCTTAGAGTATAACATTTAGCCTTGCAATGCACAGCAATAGATCAGACCTCAACAGTTATCTCTCAAAGTATAGGACGGTTTCTGACAGATGTCTATCGTGCTTTATTTCCTCAAATCTCTCTTTGTTCTCTAGTGATGTCACTGAATGCGCAGTGACTATAGAGTGCCCCTTTGTAGGTTAGAGGTCATTCTGGACTTAACATTGTTTCCTATGGCTCGGAACCCTGCACACAGTGACAGTGACCTACTTCTCAAGGCTGCGTATCAGTATCACCACAAACAAGTCTTTCTAGCTCCATTTACATGTTCAGTAATGAAAGCTCTTACCAGACCCCTCTGTGAATCACTATAACGTATTTCCGTGCATTCTTCTGCCACACACGGGCTGCCAGCGACTGACGATGCATTGTTTGGTATGTGAGAGCAAAAACTTATACACAGGTACAAGCGTACGTTTAGTAGCTCACCAATATTCGTTCGGAATTTTTCTTAATTTGCAATTCCGTTTTCTGTGGTTTATTTTTGTATTAGCCTGCCTCAAGTCTGTTGCTAATATTCTTTTATGTTATGATTGGATGACAGTTTTTAGTAGTGGCTCTTTAGGACAATGTAGATAATAAAATGTCTACAGGCCATGTGACCAGTTCCAATAAAATTGATATTTATTTTTATATGTTGAATATTAGTTCTGTGTTTTCTTGGTATGTGTATTTGTTCCTCATTGGTTACTTAAGGTTTTCTATTTTAGAATTTCCATGTATTTCTAATCAGATATTTGTCTTATATAATGGGTTTATTTCATTTATCATAGTGCCCTTAAGAGTTGTCCTTGTCATAAATATTTCATTATTGTTTACCTAAAGTGTATGTGTGTGTGTGTGTATGTGTGTGTATGGGTGTGTATGGGTGTGTATGGGTGTGTATGGGTGTGTA